ACACGGGACCAGCAGCCTCATCGAGACAAGGCTGGAAATCCCGTGCCAGGGGCCCTGGACAAGCTGCCTGAGCTGTGTGAGCAGCTGTGTGAGGAGCTGTGTGAGCGGCTGTGTGAGGAGCTGACGATCACACGCTCCCAGCCATGTTTCAGCAGCGGTGCCGGCCGGGGAGGAATGGACTGGAGCAGAGTGAAGAGCAGCGAGAAAGGCCATGTGGCAGTGGAAGCGTGAAGCCGGGGGACCAGAATGGAGAGATCCCCCTGGGAAGGAAAGGATGGACACCAGCTGTTTCCATGGAAACGTCCATCTACAAAATAACCTGGGAATGCCTTGTAATCAACAAGGGCTTCCGGAGACACGAGGGGCCAGAAGGCCTTTTTAACGGCTCCTCTCCCAGCACATGCCTTACACAGTGAGGACGCCCATTACGTTTACCCCCCGTTTTCTTCTGACGTGTCCAAGATTAAGGATAATTATAATCTGCGTGAATGAACTCACTCCTTCCTCTGATAAAATGGAGATAATGGTCACTGCCCTGGCCACATCCAAGCATTATAACAGGGATCAATGACACGAAACTTACAGAACTGCTTCCTTTTTAGTAAAAAGGGATGGTTATTTTTAGAAATTACACAATTATATAAAGCAAGAAGATGAAGGTCCTCCCTTCCCTCTCTAATCCTAAATTCTGATCATAACCAGTTGTACCAGAGTCGTAACTTGAAATATTGATGCTGCTTCCCTCCCATCACCTCCATCGCCTTTTCCCGCTATCTTTCTTTGTGTCCCGAGACTACCAAGAACCTTAGGGAAAAGTTGTGAACGCAGAAGCAGAGTATATGTGAATACCTAATCCAGTCCCTAGCATTCTGCTCCTGGTCCCCCAAACCCATATCCCTCTCACAGGCACAATGCACTCATTCCAACCCAATAGCCTCAGACATCTTAACTTTTCCAGCCTCAACGCCTAATGTTCAAAGTTGTATCTACATGTCACCTACATCAGATCAGGGGGAGACCTCCTGAGGCAGAACCGCAGCCTAGAATCTGTGAGTCCAGACAGGTCTGTGCTTTCAAAACCCAGGGGCGGGCAGGCCCCGCACTGGGTTCTCGGCCTGAAAAGGAGAGGCCAGCCGGCGTGCGGCTCAGTGGCTGAGTGTCCGCCTATGAACCACGAGGTCATGGTTGGTCCCCAGTCAGGGCACAGGCCTGGGCTGCCTGCTGGATCCCCAGTGGGGGGCGTGCAAGAGGCAGCTGATGGATGCTTCTTTCTCATCACTGATGTTTCTATCTCTGTCTCCCTCTCCCGACCTCTCTCTGAAACCAATAAAAACATATTTAAAAAATACATTAAAAAAATAAGTAAAAAAAGAAACAGGAAAGAATAGAGGAGTCCCAAAGCTAGCCAGGCCAGTGCGCTGGATCTGAAGGTTCTAGAATGATCCTCCTTGCTTTGGCGCTCTGCCCCTGCACCCCTGGGGTGGTGCTCGGCCCCAGCTCTGCCAGGTCAGGCTGTGCACACCCCCGCTCTGGGTGCCTCCAATGTTTGAGGGCAGACCGCTGGCCCACTGACACCCAGGCGTGGCCCTGACAACCTCTGACCTCCGTCCCCTCTTCCTGTTCCCTGAAGAACAGTGCGGGGCTGCAGCGGCCCAGCTGCCCGTCCGGGACCGCGGGGACTCAGAAGCCCATGGCCCTCCTTGATTTTGTCTCCCTTTCCCTTCTCCCTCCATTCCACCGGCCAGTGTCCTGCGGGAATAACCCATGTCTGGCTTCTGCTGAAACGGCTGATTAAACCCACCCGCAGTGCTCTCCTCGGAACACGCTTTCTCCTTGTCCACAACATGGGTGGGCTGAGTCCTCCGAGTCTTCCTTCCAGTTGTGGTTGCTGTTTGAGTATCAATCCCTGCTTCGGCTCAGCTCTCCCTGAGGCGTTTCCCAGGAGCGGGAGAAGGAACCAGCAGGTGCTTCAACCCTTTGCTTAGAAGTGTCCTCTGCTACATACCCAACCTCATCACTCTGAGGTTCCACCTCCCACCGGACCCCGGACACAGTTCAGCCCAGTTTATGGCCACTTTATAGGCTTGGGGGAGTCATCCTGGGGCGTGGGGAGCCACCTGGGGCTTAGGGAGCCACATGGGGTTTGGGGGAGCCACCTGGGGTTTGGGGGAGCCACCTGGGGATTGGGGAGCCACCTGGGGTTTGGGGGAGCCACCTGGGGCTTAGGGAGCCACCTGGGGATTGGGGAGCCACCTGGGGTTTGCGGGAGCCACCTGGGGATTGGGGGAGCCACCTGGGGATTGGGGGAGCCACTTGGGGATTGGGGAGCCACCTGGGGGTTGGGGAGCCACCTGGGGATTGGGGAGCCACCTGGGGTTTGCAGGAGCCACCTGGGGATTGGGGAGCCACCTGGGGGTTGGGGAGCCACCTGGGGATTGGGGAGCCACCTGGGGGTTGGGGAGCCACCTGGTGATTGGGGGAGCCACCTGGGGATTGGGGAGCCACCTTGGGATTGGGGAGCCACCTTGGGATTGGGGAGCCACCTGGGGCTTAGGGAGCCACCTGGGGATTGGGGAGCCACCTGGGGCTTGGGGAGCCACCTGGGGATTGGGGAGCCAACTGGGGATTGGGGGAGCCACTTGGGGTTTGGGGAGCCACCTTGGGATTGGGGAGCCACCTGGGGCTTAGGGAGCCACCTGGGGATTGGGGAGCCACCTGGGGCTTAGGGAGCCACCTGGGGATTGGGGAGCCACCTGGGGATTGGGGAGCCACCTGGGGACTGGGGAGCTACCTGGGGATTGGGGAGCCACCTGGGGATTGGGGAGCCACCTGGGGCTTAGGGAGCCACCTGGGGATTGGGGAGCCACCTGGGGATTGGGGAGCCACCTGGGGACTGGGGAGCTACCTGGGGATTGGGGAGCCACCTGGGGATTGGGGAGCCACCTGGGGGTTGGGGAGCCTCCTGGGGGCTGGGGAGCCACCTGGGGTTTGGGGGAGCCTCCTGGGGATTGGGGAGCCACCTGGGGTTTGGGGCAGCCACCTGGGGGTTGGGGAGCCACCTGGGGATTGGGGAGCCCCCTGGGGGTTGGGGAGCCACCTGGGGATTGGGGAGCCACCTGGGGACTGGGGAGCCACCTGGGGACTGGGGAGCCACCTGGGGATTGGGGAGCCACCTGGGGATTGGGGAGCCACCTGGGGACTGGGGAGCCACCGTGGGGCTGAGAGGCGCAGGAACAGAGGTGCTCCCGCCAGTGTGACGCCTGCTGCTTGGCTGAGAGAGAGCAGGGTGACCACCCCGATGGCAGGTCCGGGCGGCAGGAGGCAGGCTCTGCTCCCGGGAAGCTGCTCCCCCCAGCGGCTGGGAGCTGGGCCTGGGCACCTGGCGGCCCCGGGATCCCTGTCCTGGCGGGGCGGCCTCCGGGAAGGACCCACGTTCGGAAACAGCAAACGGCTGCCTCTCCTCCCCGGGGAGGCCCCTCTCCACTTAACGGTAAAGGAGGAATCCGAGAAAAACGGTGGACTGCACACTGTGATTCCAACGTTACTTAGCACTTTTCAGTGTCTTAGCCATTTGCTCTGGTTTTCAATGAACAGAAGTGTGTGTGTGTGTGTGTGTGTGTGCGTGTGCGTGTGGTATGTGTGTTGTGTATGTGTGTGTGTGTGTGGTGTGGTATGTGTGGTGTGTGTGTGTGTGGTATGTGTGGTGTATAGTGTGTGTGTGGTGTGTGTGTGTGTGTGTGGTATGGTGTATGGTGTGTGTGGTGTGTGTGTGTGGTGTCGGTGTGTGTGTGTGTGGTGTCGGTGTGTGTGTGGTGTGTGTGGTGTGTGTGTGGTGTGTGTGTGTGGTATGGTGTATGGTGTGTGTGGTGTGTGTGTGTGTGGTATGGTGTATGGTGTGTGTGGTGTGTGTGTGTGGTGTCAGTGTGTGTGTGTGGTGTGTGTGTGTGTGTGTGTGGTATGGTGTATGGTGTGTGTGGTGTGTGTGTGTGGTGTGTGGTGTGTGTGTGTGTGGTGTGTGGTGTGTGTGTGTGGTATGGTGTATGGTGTGTGTGGTGTGTGTGTGTGTGTGTGGTATGGTGTATGGTGTGTGTGGTGTGTGTGTGTGTGTGTGTGGTATGGTGTATGGTGTGTGTGGTGTGTGTGTGTGGTGTGTGGTGTGTGTGTGTGTGGTGTGTGGTGTGTGTGTGTGGTATGGTGTATGGTGTGTGTGGTGTGTGTGTGTGTGTGTGGTATGGTGTATTGTGTGTGTGGTGTGTGTGTGTGGTGTCGGTGTGTGTGTGTGGTGTGTGTGGTGTGTGTGTGTGTGTGTGTGTGTGGTATGGTGTATGGTGTGTGTGTGTGGTGTGTGGTGTGTGTGTGTGGTGTCACGTTGTGCAGTGCTATGATACGGGATGATTCCTCCTGATAGACGGTAGGAGGGGTCCCACATCTCCGTTTCTCAAATGGGATTTCCATCCAGGCTGCGCTGGGCAGTGACTCTCAGTGAAATAGGCTCCGAGTGACCAGGGGAGGGGACACGCTTTGTGGCTGGAACAGGCAGGTGCGGGGTGGAGGACTCGGCGGGAAGAGCTGTCCATGGGGCCCAGCCGGAGGGGCACGGCCTCCTCCCGCCGCCGGCTCCTGGGGGGACGGACCGGAGGGCAGGGGGCTGCTGGGGGACCGGAACCTCCGATTCTAATGGAACAAAGGCCTCTGCTGACTGCGCTCCTTCACTGAAGTTAAACAGAAGCAGTGCGAGCTGAGCAGAACCCAGAGCGAGAAGCTCACTTCTGTGGCAACAGGCACAGGAGTCCTTTTAGACGTTTTGGAAACTTTGCCTTTTACCACTTTTGACAACTTTCAATTACTCAGCCCTGTGCACTCTACATTTGCATCAGTAATATATGTCTGTATCTATAGGCTGCTTTAAAGATACTCGGCAATGTAAGACCCACCAAGCTCCTCCCCTAGGCCAGTGGTCGGCAAACTCATCAGTCAACAGAGCCAGATATCAACAGGACAACATTTCTTTTTTTTACAACATTTCTTTTGAGAGCCAAAGTTTTTAAACGTAAACTACCGTTTCCCCGAAAATAAGACAGTGTCTTATATTAATTTTTTCTCCCAAAGTTGCGCTAGGTCTTATTTTCAGAGGATGTCTTATTTTCGGGGAAACACGGTATATAAGGTAGGTATATGGTTATTAACTTAATTAGGGCACTCCTAAGCTGGCCTTTGCTAAAAACCCAAGGGGCCAAACGCATGACAGCTAAACGCTTTGGCATGTGCCTTTCTCTGCCTTTAATGGAAGCACAGGGGTGGGTGTGGTCAGCCGTGCGCCCAGCAGGAGTGGCCATCCCCGTTTCCATGGGGCCTGTGATCTAAGGCGCCCCCAGATTTACTCAAAGGAACATCAGCTCCGGGGCAACGGGCGGGGGGAGGGGCATTTGCAAAGGGAGGACCTTTAACTCAACCCTTCACAAGAGACACTTCTGAGAGATGAGTTCTCCAGAAAAGAAAACGTTCACTGTTTTAGACGGGACATTTCCTCCTTATGAATTCTAACAGCCACACGATTTCGCTCATTACTTGGCTGCATTCATCGGGAGTAATTTGCAGAGCTGGGTTTGCGATGCAGTCAACTGTGTCAGAATGGTCTGCGGGCCGCCGCCAGTTGCAAGCACAACTCCTGTTCCTGGAGGGACCTGCCCCCTTGAAATGCGCCATGAAAAGCCCAGGGAGCTGGTGCTGAAGCAGCCAAGACGGAGCAGTGCCCGCCCCCCGCCTCCGCCCCGCCCAGGGACTGTCAGTGGAGCTTCTGTGCAGGATGGGCTGCTCTCGTGGCCACTGCGTCCCGCACTGAGTCCTGGTCACAGGGCCGGGTGCCGTGCCCTCAGCAGATTTCCCAGTCCCTCAGAAGAGGCCACCGGGGGAAAACTGCCCTCTAACCGACAGGAGGCTCCGGTCAGGGGCGCCTTTGGACGGAGAAAGAGACTAAACAGAAATAAAGTGCTTTGATTATTCTTTTGCATCGAGTATTGAGAAAGTTATTCTTTCCCAGTAACTTCCAAGAGTTTGTAAAACAAAAAAACAAACAAACAATTTGGGAGCGTATCGATGAGTTGTTTTTTTAAATTGAATTTTCTGAAAAATTTTAAAGTATTAGACTTTACAACTCATAAAATCAAGATAAGTGCATTATTCAAGTTTGAAGGGTGACAACTTAAGGTTTGTATAATGCATTTAATGTCTGCACTTGTTAGAGATTACATTTCCGTGACATGTTATTTACTTGTATGGCTTTTCACTTTATGTTAATATTTTATTTATCAGAGCACTCATCCATTGCTCATTTACTCAGCACCTCCTATGAACCAGGCACAAAAATTTCATTTATAATGTTGCAGTTTTACATGTATTTTAAGACTCAAATCCATGTTTAAGCCTTAAGCCACACAGATAATTATTTTCTCTTAAAAATAAAAGTTTTTTACAAACATCCGCTGTTCTATCAGACAACTAATCCCCCCCCGCCCCGAATTATGGCAACGTAATGTCTACCACATAAGCATGATATTTTAAATAAGACTTAAATAGCATTAGAGAAAACACCTTATGATAGGTTGGCAATGTTCACAACATACAGGCACATGGATACCTGATATAAAAAAAAATTGTACTCAACACTGTGGAATAACCTGGAATCCCTTGCTTCATTTAGCCGGTGACCAATTCTATTAGAATGGCTGGTTGTGTCAATAGTGTCCTCACTTTACCCTTCCCAGCCCCGCTCAGCCAGGCCACGCATGCGGGCCACGTCCGTAGCCATGTCCCCTGCTGCATTGGAAGACGGGGTATTACGGCATTGTGCGCCGAGGCTTAAGAAACAGAGACCACAATGGATTCCGCCTCCCTATTCTCTCTCTTCCGTAACCTTTTAAGCTGCTCGCTGCTTCGGTTTCAGAAAGGGTAAAGGAACAGCGATGCGTAAATCACCAGGAAAGAAGGAAGCTGAAAAGGCAAAGGGGCGAAGTGGAGGCAGAATTAAAGCTGCAAAAAGACAAGCCAGATTTCATTGTCTCCCACGCAGGCCTGATGATGGGGTGGGCCTCATGTCCCGGTCCTCTGAACAGTCCTTTCTCTGTGGGTTTTAACCGCCACCAAAGCACTCTGTGACTTTGGGCAAGTTACTTAACCTTTCCACGCCACAAATTCTTCATCTACAAAACTGGATTAATGATTAAATGATTAAAACCGGGTTAATGATCAGGGTTGTGACATTAAATTAAATGGCACACACACTGCCTGGCTGTTGGCGTGCTCATAGTAGGCAACCATAAATCATCCATCCATCTATCTATCTACCTATCTATCTATCTATCTATCTATCTATCATCTATCTATAATAACAAGTCTTGCATTTCAAGAAATAGCAAATCAGTAACGTTTTTAACCTAACTTACTTGAAAGAGTAAAGAAAGATTAAAATTAATAATCATTTTGAGTGTTTAAATGTGACATTCAGAATTAAGTTGGCCCTCTTAATTACCCCTGTAATTATGGAGGCTTCTGAGTTTTATATTTCACGTAATTTCCCCCCCTGCACATTTCAGAGTAGATATAATAAAACCTGAGTGGGTAGCAAGAGTAGTACAGATACATGCATGTAGCTTCAGTTCTATGAGTCCTTATCTGGGCCAAGTTTCTGGTTCCTGTCCTAGCTGGTATCTGCAGACAATCTCGCCCTGTTGAGTGAATGTTGCTTTTAAAATGTGAGTAGATATTATTCCCACTATAGAATCAATCATGCCCGTTCTGGAGTCTTCTGGATCTCACATTTCCTCATTACATGTTAATGGGATGGTGTCTCTGAATATTATCCTGTCTCTAGTATGTCACACTTCTGGCAGGTTGGGACACCTGGTGACAGTCATCTCGGGAAGGAATCACTCGCCATTCCAACTTGTTGATCTGTGGGAGGGCTGAATTCGTTCTCAGAGCAAGACATGCCGTTAAAGGTAGGCGTGCAGGGAACACTGTTCTCTGAAAGCGGAGAAGCCCACAGCGAGAGGAGAAAGAACTGGTCTCTATCATTAAGGAGAAGAGGAAGGAACCACAATTCTTCAAAAATATGAATTACAAGGATGATGTAGTTCAACTCATTATTCAACCACACTACGCTCTGAACATATTTTGCAAGTCAATGGTCGGAGGCGATGAGGACAGTAATTTGCCTATTGGCAAAAGTTGGGATACTTAACGAAACTGAACAGATGTATTTTTCATACATGAGAAGAACAGTACAAATGACTCTGGCATCGAAACTGAGGAACAGAAACAAAACAAAAGCAATCAAACCAGAGATCAAAAAGGAGATGTTTAAAAGGCCGGCCAATCACCGGAAAGCCTTCATCCCGTGCCACGTTTCTCTGTTCTCCCCACGCGAGAGGAGGAACATGAGCAGCTTCCCCCTGCGGGGCCTCCGCCTCCCGCTCACTTCCTGTCCGTGCAGGGAGGCGCCTGCCTCCGAGCACAGGGGAAGGACACAGGAGGTGTTTGCGAGGGGAAAGGGCAACCCTTTCCCGGTCATGTCCCCCCACATCAGCACGGAGAAGACGCACAGCTGTTCTCCTGGTAGAGAGAAAAGACGGAGGGAAGGGCACTGTGCTGGGAGGGAAACTGGCACTAGAAGCAACAGAGGCTTTGAAATCAGTGAAATCACCCAGCAGGGGAGCTCCCTCGGTTTTCTCGGAGGGCTGGGCCCCTCACCCAGCTTGCCCCGCTCCTGGAAGCTGAGTGAGGGCTCGGAGGCCACAGCCAGGATGTGGTGCTTCTGAGTGGCAGACTTCACTCTTCCGCCAAGATCCCCCTGGCACCTGCCACGGAGCACGGGAACGGGAGCAGTTTGACACAAGCCGTAGTCCTGAAAAGGATCAAAACCAGGCCCTCCAGTCGATCCCCAGGGAATGATTTCAATGTTCTAAGTGATGATAAAGATTGTAAGAATCTTCTGACAGGGCTGCCCCTGCTGTGCCCGTTTTTTAAAACGGATTCACTGTCCGCACATCCGGAGCCACGGCTGGGTGCTCCCGTGGAAGCTCCCTGCCGCCCGAAGGGATGCAGGGAGCCTGGACACTGTCCGCAGCTGGTCCCCCAATTCAGTCCAGTTTCCATGTGGGAAACAAAGGTCTTTTGTATCATTTCAAAATGTCCTTTTAAAATGTCCAGACTACAATCATTCATAGGGCCCACATTAAAATAACGGACTTGGTCTTAAACCTCCAAGTCTAAGCTAAATAGTTCATCCTGTCGTTCAATCCACTTTTCCCTTTTCCCATCCTTGGTCACCAGGGGGTCACCGTCCGTTACATCTTCAAAATACACCTCCCTCCAGCTCTCTCTCCTCCCTGCTCCACCTATAATTCCTCCAGAGCTTTCCTCACCCAAGCCTCCCTGTCTAGCGCTCTCTGGCCAGTGTGGGGGGCCTCGGATCGCCCCTCCAGTGTCTGAATTCTGACACAGGGCCAACCAACACCACGGCATCCCGCTTACGTATTACTCTGCTAGGCTGGGAGGCCCCTGGAATTAGAAGCCAAGCTCTGTACCTCTGCAGCACTGGAAACACAGCGAGTGTCAATAAAAGATGAGTGAATGCGTCCAGTCATTGGAACTCAAAGGTTAGCTCCTCTTGTACAACAATTCAACGGGGTTTGGCTGTTGTTGATGTTCTTTTTATTTTACTTTATTTTAAATTTATTTTTAAAATATATTCTATTGATTCCCTACAGAGAGGAAGGGAGAGAGATAGAAAGCCAGAAACATCGATGAGAGAGAAACATTGATCAGCTGCCTCCTGCACACCCCCATTGGGCATGTGCCCGCAACTAAGGTACATAACCTTGATCGGAATCGAACGCCCCAGGCCTTCACCACACCATTGTCAGTGTCCATGGGTTATGCACGTATGCACACAAGTTCTTTGGTGGATCTCTGCTCACCTCCCCCCCCCCCCCCCAGGCAACAGTGGGGGGGAAATGCTGA